AATGGCTCTAAACAAATTCTAGAGCAGAAGAACCCACAAAAAGGCAGAGTGAAACAAATTTCCAGACCAGGACAATCTGGATGGTTGATAGGAAAGGTGTGTTGTGCCTGACTGGGAGAGGACCACAGTTCATCAGGGGTCATGCAGGCGAAGACCAGGCCTCAGCAAACCTGGAGCAGGCCTCAGGGGACTGAATCACTAGCAGCTGTGGTGGTTTCCAGACTTCTCAACCCACAAACACCAAAGACAACTAAGAAGGTCAGTAGGAAAGGTCTGTTGGGCCTGGGTGAGAGAGGAGCACAGTCCAGCCCCAGTCATGGCACAACCCTGGGGCAGCAGCAGTGGCAGAGGCAGCTCAGTCGGCAAATGGTGGGGGAGATCAAGCAGCTGATCAGAGAGGGATTGCAGGGATCTCTTTGCTGGTGCTGAGTCAGGATTCTCTTGTTTTTCCAATGCTTGAATCTGGGTTGTAGTCCTGGGGCAAGGAGGAGTGCTGGCATAATGGAGCTTGTGGTGGCAGTGGAGAGAGAATCCTCTTCACAGTTCCAAGGCAGAAAAGTGTTTCTGGTCACTCATAGACCAGAGCACAGGCCAAGAACAGAGTAAAAACCTTGCCCCTTATCATACCACCTTTACAGGTCCCTAGAAGTATCTCTGAAAACAGCTGCACAAAACCCCTGAAGCTTGGGACAGTACAACCTCCACACTAGAAGCAGAGCCCTACCTTAACAAAGATTTAAAAAGTCAAGTAATTGGCTGGGAACATAAGCAAACAGTAGAAAAAAACTCAGACTATAGAATCTTACTTTGGTGACAAAGAAGATCAAAACATACAACCAGAAGAAGACAACAAAGTCAAAGCTCCTACATCCAAAGCCTCTAAGAAAAATATGAATTGGTCCAATGCCATAGAAGAGCTCAAAAAGGATTTTGAGAAGCAAGTAAGAGAAGTAGAGGAAAAATTGGGAAGAAAAATGAGAGTGATGCAAGACAGTCATGAAAAATGAGTCAACAATTTGATAAAGGAGACCCAAAAAAATACTGAAGAAAATAACACCTTAAAAAATAGACTAACCCAAATGGCAAAAGAGGTCCAAAAAGCCAATGAGGAGAAAAATGCCTTAAAAAGCAGAATTGGGCAAATGGAAAAGGAAGTCCAAAAGCTCACTGAAGAAAATAATTCTTTTAAAATTAGAATGCTAATGAGTCTACGAGAAATGAAGAAATTACAAAACAAAATCAAAAGAATGAAAAAATAGAAGATAATGTAAAATATCTCATTGGAAAAACAACTGACCTAGAAAATGGATCCAGGAGAAATAATTCAAAAATTATTGGACTACCTGAAAGCCATGATCAAAAAAAGAGCCTAGACATCATCTTTCAAGAAATTATCAAGGAAAACCACAATGATATTCTGGAAACAGAGGGCAAAATAGAAATTGAAAGAATCTACCAATCATCTCCTAAAAGAGATCTCCAAAAGAAAACTCCCAGGAATATTGTAGCCAAATTCCAGAGTTTCCAGGTCAAGGAGAAAATATTGCATGCAGCCAGAAAGAAACAATTCAAGTATGATGGAGCCACAGTCAGAGTAACACAAGATTTAGCAGCTTCTACATTAAGGGAACAGAGGGCTTAGAGTGTGATATTCCAAAGGTCAAAAGAGATAGGATTACAACCAAGAATCACCTACCCAGCAAAACTGAGTATAATCCTTCAGGGGGAAAAAAATGGACATTTAATGAAATAGGAGACTTTTAAGCATTCTTAATGAAAAAACCAGAACTGAATAGAAAATTCGACTTTCAAATGCAAGACTCAAGAGAAGCATAAAGAGACAAACAGAAAAAAGAAATCATAAGGGACTTACTAAAGTTGAACTGTTTACATTCCTGCATGGAAAGATGATATTTGTAACTCATGAGACCTTTGTCAGTATCAGGGTAGTTGCAGAGAATATATGTATGTGTGTGTGTGTGTGTGTGTGTGTCTGTGTGTGTGTGTGTGTGTCTGTGTGTGATACACACACAGACAGAGGGCACAGGGTGAGTTGAATATGAAGGGATGATACCTAAAAAATAAAATAAAAAATTAAGGGGTGAGAGAGGATTATACTGGGAGAAAGTGAAAGAAAAATATAGAATGGGGTAAATCTCACATAAAATAGACAAGAAAAGCTTTTACAGTGGAAGGGAAGAAGTGGGAAGCAAGAGGGAATGAATGAATTTCACTCTCATTGGATTTGGCTTAAGAGGGGAATAACATACATACTCAATTGTGTATGGAAACCTATCTTACCCTACAGGAAAATAGGGGGGAAGGGGATAAGAGCGGGGGCGGTTAATACAAGGGAGGGCAGATTGGGGGAGGAGGTAATCAGAAGCAAAAACTTTTGAAGAGGAATAGGGTCAAAGGAGAAAATAGAATAAATGGGGGGCAGGATAGAATGCAGGGAAATATAGTTAGTTTTTCACAACATGACTACTATAGAAGTGTTTTACATGACTACTCATGTATAATCCATATTGCGTTGCTTGCCTTCTCAATGAGGGTGGGTGGGGAGAGAGGAAGGGAGAGAATTTGGACCCCAAAGTTTTAAAAACAAATGTTAAAAATTGTTTTTACATGCAACTGGGAAATAAGATATACAGGCAATGGGGAACAGAAATCTATCCTGCCCTACAGGAAAATAGAAGGGGAAGGGGATAAGAAAAGGGAGGGGGATGATAGAAGGGAAGGAGATTGGGGGAAGGGGTATTCAGAATGCACACCATCTTGGGGAAGGGAGAGGGGAGAGATGGGGAGAAAATTTAGAAGTCAAAATCTTGTGGAAGTGAATGTTGAAAACTAAAAATCAATTCATCAATTAATTTTTAAAATAGATTTAGTAACATCAATTAGCAGTTTTATAAAACAGAAAGAACATCAAAATGTGAGTTACAGAATCACAGTATCTCAGAATTAGAAGGGACCTCAGAGCTGATTTGATTTAACGCATAACTTGACTGAGAATCCATTCTACAATGTTCTCAACAAGTGGTCAAATAGCTTTTACTTAAAGGGCTCAGTAATGGAGAATCTGCTGCCTTCTGAAGTTTCCCTGTGCATTTGGGGATGGATCTGTTAGGAAGTGTCTCTTCATATCAAACTTGAATCTCCCTTTTCTTTACCACTACTTAGCTCTCTAATTGGATGGTTCACTTTCTCCCTCAGGAACTCGGTTTTGGCTCTTGGAAAATAAGATAGTTGGACTAGATTACATGTAAGCCCTTTGAACTCAAAGGTACTATCTTTTCCCCTAAAATTCTAGAACATAGATGAGAGTTTAGGGAGAGAGGAACATGTATAAACATAGTCTTCTCTGTGACTGACATTTAGTTAGATGCAATGCCCTATAGAAGATACTGGGGAGGTGCAAAGATAAATGAGTCACAGTCTCTGCCTTCATGAAATTTTCAGTCCAGTGAGGGAGAAGACGTAAGAGCAAATCATTTAAAGGGCTTTCCCAAGCCTCACCTTAATGAAACTTGGGAAATGACTGGCCCAGGAGAAAGCTGGTTTCTTTATTCAAGCCCTGCTCCCACTTTCTGGAACCCAATACCACTTCCCTTTCCTTTAGATTTTGTCTTTTTCCTTTGAAAACTCATTCTTTTTCCAACCAATTCAAGAGCCCCTTCATAGATACAAAATATAGAGAGTTAACAGCTGTTCATTTTAATTCAGAAATTGGCCTCCCCTAGACTGCCCTGCACTGGCAGAAATCAAGACCCTGAGTCTTTCTGAAATCACTTTTTCACAGCATCTATAGCATCTAAGGCAGATTACTTTCATGGCCTTACATCATCTTGATCCACAGCATTTGCCTCCCTGGGCTTCAAAGGTCTTAGGATATAAAGCAGAGAAATAACCTGCAATAAGAAAAAATAGTTGGTCGAATCTAACTTTAGGATTTTAAGTCAATAATATCCTTTTCACTTTTTAAATAAAAGATGTCACATAGTCCTAGGGATTGATCTTCTCTGAGACTCTTTTAAGATCATAGCATTATAGGGTTTAGGACTAGAACTAATCCTAGAGGTATCTCATTTTATAAATAAGGAAACTGAAATTAAATGACTTGCCTAAGGTTCACAGTTAGAAAATTACAAAGCAGATTTTGAACTGAGCCAGGTCATTTTGTTCCTCTATGTTTTGTAGGGCAGAAGAGAATCTTGATTGTCTTGGGAAATTGTATGGGGAAAGATGGAGGTGAGATACAGGGAAGAAAAAATAAGAAGAAAGTTTCACCAATCTCACAAAGCTGTCTAGGACAGTTGTTTCCAATATTTTGTGTCCTATGAACACCTTTCAACAACAAAAAGAATGTGTTATAAGCCCCCAAGGTAATTTAATACACTATTCATTTTCCTTATGTGTGTACAAAACTGCAATGATGACTTTTGCCCCCAAATTAAAATCTACATTGTTGCTCAGTTGTTTTCACTTGTATCCAATTTTTCGTGACCCCATTTGGGATTTTCTTGGCAGAGATACTGAAATGGTTTGCCGTTTCCTCCTCCACCTCATTTTACAGGCAAGAAAACTGAGGCAAAAAGGCTTAAGTGGTTTATCTAGGATCACACAGCTAGTAAGTGTTTGAGGACTGATTTGAACTCAGGAAGAAGAGTCTCCCTGACTCCAGACCATGCACTCTATCCACTGCATCCTCCAAGTGCTTCAAAATCTACATTAATAATCACAAAATGCATAATACCTATCCTGGAATTAAGTAAACTCTAAATATAAAACTATAAATCTCTAATTATAAAATAATTACAAATATTTTGTCAAACCTTCTGTAATAATTAAAAGTAGCAATCCAGCAAGAACTCATATGCTTACTATTAATTGTAAAACTTCATATCAAATTTTTATTTTACAAATTTTGATGAATATAAACATTTTAATGAAATAAGTTACAACTTGGGAGATGTTCAACATAACCTATTAATCATGTATCAATGCAATTTCAGTGTTAGACTTTTATTTTAACAAAGATTTGCAATGTTTGCTTCAATGGCAGACAAATATAGTCTTAAACCTGGTTCTCTGGTTCTGCAGAGAATTTATTTCTATATTTTGATTTAAAACAACAATGAAGAAAAAAATGTTCCTTCACACAAACGTAGTAAAAAAAAATGTTTGGAGAATTTTATAAACTCTTTTACTAAGAAATGGAAATTCATTTTCTTTTAACTTTTAGCCATCTAACCAATCAATTTAAGTGACTAGCCTCTTAGGATATAAAATATTTACTTTTCTACTGAGTAATGACAAGTGTTATATTAAATGATAAATGTACTTTAAGTTCAATTGTATATTTTGCTTTGTTTTCAACAATGTTTACATGTGAAATCATCTTTGCAAGAAAAGAATCTCTTCAAATACAATTTTCTTCTCTTCTGCCACTGGTACACTGACTATACTCTCATAGAACCTTCACTGAATGACCAGTGTCGCCAACCAGTTTATTTTTAAAACTACCAGATAAACAAATAGTAATATAAAGTCAAATCAGAAAGTAGCCTTACTATTGCAATGAGAGGCAATGTAAGGTTTACTTCTGTAGAATGTTTATGATGGTGCATGATGTCTTCAAGATGGCTCATAATGTTCATGCCCGGTGATCATGGTTTCCAAACAGTCCAACCTTCATGCTATAAGAATGCAAATATTCATAACATTTTAATTATGTGATTACAGGGCCGATGAGGTACAATTAATAATAATTAATAAACAATACCAATCATGTGTCAGGCACTGGGCTAACTGCTAGGGATACAAATATGAAAAATAAAGACCATCTCTGCTGTAAAGGAGCTTATAATCTAATGATTATGGAGTAACAGAGGGGAATGAAGGAGCTACTCTAGTGCAGTGCGCAAAAGGCAAATTAAAAAAAAAAAGAAAGAAAGAAAAAGGTATATGCATTTGACCATCCATTGGAAATGGTTTATGAATTGGTAAACCTCTGTGGTGGTTTGATAGAAATTTGATTCCAAGTTGAGAAACTGCAAAGATATGTTGCACTTAATTAGAAAAAGCCAGAATTTTAGGTAATTGCTGCATGAACACCAAAGTCTTTGTGCACATTATTATGATGGTTTCACATCTTTGCAGAAGCAAACCTATAGTGTTTTAAACTTGTTTGTTGTCACCACGGTCACTTTCCCACCATCTGCAAGGAGCCTTTTTCCATCCTCTTAATGTTAGTACTTTCCTTCTGTGATTACCTCTAACTTATCCTCTATATATCTTGTTTGTCCATAGTTGTGTGCTGTACCACTTCCCACCAGATACAAATTATATCAAATTATGGTAATGGCTTCACATACCGGTAGAATTAGACCACTTGATAATGAATGGGTAATCACAATATTTCTCTGAAGTCAATTCATAGGTAAAGTAACTGAGACATAGAAATTAAATACCTTATCCAGTTCCTAAAGCCATGTACTATTTGGATCTTGATTCAAGTGTGAGTTTTAGTCTCTGACTCACATACCTTCAGAGTTGGCAGGAACCTTGGAGATCATCTAGTAAAATCATGTTCCTGGCTGTTCCCCCTGTTTAAAGCACTCAATTCGATTCAAATCAACAAGCATTTATTAAGTATTCACTATGTTCTAGGGCAGGGGTGGGGAACTTGTGACCGTGCGGCCACATGTGACCTTCTACATCCTTGGGTGAAGCCTTTTGACTGCATCTAAATTTTACAGAACAAATCCTTTTAAGGGGATTTGTTCTGTGATGTTTGGATTCAAAAGACCACACTTGAGGACCTAAAGGGCCACATGTGGCCTTGAAGCGGCAGGTCCCCCACCCTTGTCCTAGGGCCTGTGCTAGGCCCTGGAATAAATGAAAATGAAGACTTGTCCCAAAGAGCTTACTTACTGGATTGCATATTCTGAGCCTATGTGCATGGAATTAAATTTCATATTTGGACTGAACAATACACTGACAAGCTGGGTGCCAACTGCCAGAGATGTAGAACAGCACTAGCCATTTCTGAGTTCATTATGTCCTAACAGAGAAATCTAAGGGGGATGTTGATATCTACCCAGAAGGCCATATAAAATGATACAGTAGGCTCTGCAGAAGGGGTGAAGGCAATCTGTAAAACTTTGATTTTGTCCTATGGAAGTATACAACTGAGAGTGTGGGATTTTCAGCAGGAACTGTGCCAACAGTAAATGTGAACTACATTGAACTGAAATACTCCTTCTTGCCTCAGATGACCTGGAATGATAGGCAATATGAATCCCTATATGATAAAGAATTAAGAGAGGTAATACAAACCATGAAGCAAGGACATCACCCTAAGAAACTTAATCCTAGTTAACAAGAGGGACCTCTGATGTTGAGAGAGTGGCAGAATATGGACTTATTCAATGGAATATACCCTTTGATGTCATGTTTGATTGGGGTTACCTTGAATATGATACTAGGAAGCAGTTGCTACTCTCCAAGGAATTTTGCTACTTCTCTAAGGTACTTGAACTACATTCCATCAGGATGTTGCCAAACAATCTTGGCTCATCTTGAAAGGTTTACAGTTATAGAATCACAGACTGTCAGAACTGGAAGAGTCCTTAGTGATCACTGAATTCAATCCAACCATTTTACAGATGGAGGAAGCAAGTCCCAGAGAGGTGAAATAATTTGCCCAAGATTACAGAGTGAAAAAAGTCTAAGATTATAATCCAAACATTTGGACTCCAAGTTTAGTGCTCTTTCATGAAGTATTATATTGATCAGCTACTGTTTATATGTTTTACGGTTTCTAAATCATTTTCTTTCCGACAGTCACATGAGACAGATAAGTGCAAGTGGAATTATTCCTATTTTTCAGATGAGAAAATTGAGACTTAGAAAGACTATGGTCACACTAACATGTGGCAGAAACCAGTTCATGCATGTGGGAGAATAAAATGGTCAGAACCATTTCATTTTTTATCCAAGAAATCATTCACCACCAAATTATGTTAACTTATATGTAAGTTCTCTAGTTAAGTGAATCCTACCCTCGATTTAGCCCTTGTTGATCCGTGTGCATATTGGACTAGAGTGACTCAACCAAGATTAAACAACATGTGCGTGGCTTCATGGAATTTGAACTCAACATTTTAGATTCCAAGCAGAAGTTCAAGTTTGGTTCAACTGGAGACTCCATTAGGCCTTCTGTAGAAAAGTGGCGTTTGCCCAATTCAGTGACATTAGATTGATAGAATACAAAGTTAAGAGTATAATCACACAAAACTGCAACATTTTATCAATTTAAGAAGTCTTACTTGTCAACAAGACCCTAATGAGGATATGGCTTTCCAGAAGGATCAAGAATGAAGACATTCCTCCCTCACCTCCTTACTTCATATTGGTTTCATAATAACTTTCAAGGCCTCAGAGCTAAATATTAATAGTCCCAAGAAATTTTTGGCCTTGAGACTTGACTGCTGCAATGATCTCTCCACCTCTAGAAACAGGAACATTGGATTCAAGGTAGTTGCACAAGACTCTTACCTGGGGACCACCTAAGAGACCTATACGAAGGCAGATTCTCCCCTTTTTAGACATTTTAAGAAATTATTTTAAAAGTAGCCTAGTCTGAAGCCTTTGGACTAATATAAATAACTCATCAGTATTTCCTTAACTACCAATTTTTAAAATTTAATTTAATTTTGTGTTACATTTTAAATCCCAAACTGCCTCCCTCCCTTCCTCCTCACCCCACACTAGAGAAGACCACCACTTGACACAGATTTATAGATATATGTAAAACCATATTATATGTACTTCTATTTATCAGTTCTTTCTCGGGATGTGGATAGCATCTTCCTTCATGAATCTTTTATAGTTGATTTGAGTATTTATAGTACTCAGAATAATTTGGTTGTTCACAATTATTCCTAGAATATTGCTTATTGTATACTACATCCTCTTAACTATCAATTTTGAAACAATGTCTGTTCCCCTCTCTCTGAACTGCCCAGAAAGAAACTCTCATTTTTTTCTTGAATTAGAACAATGATCAAATAAGGGCCAGGCACCCCTACTTAATCCACCTTGATTGGATTAAAATAATGATCAGGCTAGAGCCTTCTTGAATTCACCTTTGATCAGTTTAGAGAAAGATCCTTTGATGAATAGTGTGGTCATAAATGGATTGAGTGGTTTTAGGAAAATAATTTTCCAAGATTAAGTGGCAATTGCTCTGATTGTTGAACCAAAATGGTAACTTTTGCCTTATCCTGAATTGTGTAACCATTTGAATGTTTTCTTGTTCAATACTCCTATAAACATTTCTTCAAAAATATCTTGTATTGGAGTGATGTCAGAGGGCATTAGGGAACTCGGTCAACTTGGACATTTCTCTCTCTAAGCAGAATAATGTTTGGAGTTAGAATAATGACAAAATTAATAAAAATTGTTTCTTCTTAGCCCACAACAGAGTTAACTAGGTAGGTTTCAGGCCACTAAAATTTTTTTCTCAAAGACCACACTTTAAACCCAATTCACTCTGGACCTAATTGATTGAACAATAATAGGTACCTGCCCAAGCACCACTTAATGGTTGTTTTTTGGGCCTTCCTGACTCAGAGTGAATGTAAATAGTGATTGTTTCTCTTTTGGCCAGCAACCCTGAGGGTCTTCCCCTCCCAGTTGGGTATACATAGATATTTTTTAGTTATTATTAAAGGGGCCATCCCTTGACTCACTTCTTAAACAAGTCTATTCACTGTACATGGGAGTCCTTTTCCCATTTGTATGATCTCTTTGGGATATAGCCCTAGAAGTGCTGTAGCTGGGTCAAAGATTGAGTAATCATGGCAAGATATCTCCAACATCTATCTCTTTGACAATGGTTTTTTTCAAGTGAACCAATCATTTAACTAATCACTAATATGAAGTTCAAAATATAATGTTACTTTGATAAAAAGAACTCTAAAAAAAAACATTCTGAGGGAAACTGTCAGTCAAAGAGGTTTATGAGGAAGCCTTAATAGTAATTGACTGGTGAGATATTCCCCATTGTATCGACTATATAAGGCACCATATTAGGCACTGCAGGAGTCCTGAGTCCAAATCAGGCCTCAGACACTTGAACAAGTCACTTAACTTCTGTTTGCCTTAATCCATTGGAGAAGGAAATAGTAAACCAACCCAGTACCTTTGCCATTAAAAAAAAAAAAAAAAGACTGAACAACAATGTGAAGGAACAGAGAACAAAGGGGGAAAAGATCTCAGGGCCTGAGGTAAAGAACTGAAATCATAATAGGGTAAATCCTTTGCCTTGGGAGTTGTTCTAGGCAGAAATGTAGAAAAGACTGAATCTCTATACCCTAAATGAGAAGAGATTTAGGAAAGCCATCCTTCATGTGCAATCAATGTAGCAGGGTAAGGAGGAGGAATCACAGAATCTTTGGCAGTCTATCCACTTTATAGATACTAAACACCTTGCTTCAGAAGAGGCCTGACAATCACCTAAGGGGACAATCACCTCCTTACTCTTAAAAGTTGTGCTCCTCTTAATGCAGGCCAAGGTTTTTTTTTCTTTTGTTTTGTTTTGTTTTGTTTTTTGGCTGCTACTTCATACTACTAACTTATATTAAGTTTGCATTCCATTAAAACACCCAGGTCTTTTTTTAAAACAATATCTGCTATCTAATAATGCCTCCTCCATTTTACACTTGTGAAGTTAACTTTTGTACCCAAGTGTAAGGTTTTACATTTATCTTTATTGAATTCTCTTATTAGACTCAGCTTCAATGTTCTGTTAAGATATTTTTAGATACTGACTCTTTCCTTCATTGTATTAGCTCTCCCTACCAGCTTTACATCAACTGTAAATTTGTTGAGTATGCCATCTGTGTTTTGTTTTTGTTTTGTTTTTTTGTTTTGTTTTGGTAAGGCAATTGGGGTTAAGTGACTTGCCCAGGGTCACACAGCTAGTGAGTATCATATGTCTGAGGTCACATTTGAACTCAGGTCCTCCTGACTTCGGGGACAGTGCTTTATCCACTGCGCCATCTAGCTGCCCCTGCCATCTATGTTTTTACCCAAACCATTGATAAAACTGTTAAACACCACAGGATCAAACACATTTCTATAGAGTATTTCACTGAAAGTTTCCTACCATGTTGACCTTGAAGCACTAACAGCTAATCACTTAGTAAATGCTTACTCTGTATATGTATGTGTCTATCATCTACTTATGTATCTATTCATGCACATATCTATCATCTATCTATACATCCCTATATAGAGATATGCCTATATTTATCTGTCATTTATGTATCTATGTATGTATTTTTCTGTCAAGTATATATGTTTCTCTCTCTTTGTGTATCTCTGTCTCTTCTCTCTCTCCTCCTCCTCCTCTTCCTCTTCTCTCCCCTCTGAGACTGGCCAGTCAATCAATTCTGAATCCATGTTATTATATCTAATTTATGTCTCCCATTCTTCTTTACAAGAACAATGGCAGATCTTCTATTAAAAGCTGTGTTAGGTAAACTATATCCATAGCATTTCCTTCCTCTATTAGTTCAGTAATCCTGTCAAAAAAAGAAATGAGGTTAGCCTTGCATGACCTGTTCTTTATGATGCCATATGGCATCTTTATAATCACCAGTTACCTTAATAAATATTCACCAACCATCTCTTCGATGATACATTCTAAAAGTTTCCCATGAGTTGTCAAGCTCACTGGTCTGCAGTTTTCAGACTTTATTTTCTCTTCCTCCTTTAAAAAAATCAGGACATTTGTCATTTTCTAATCTTGAAATTCCTCTCCTATTTCCCAGGATCTTTCAAATATTACTGACAGTGTCTTAGCTATAACACCTTCTAGTTCTTTCAGTATCCAAGAATGTAGTTCATCTGGGCCAGGTGTCTTGAATTTACCAAGGCAGCCAGGTGTTCACTTAACCCTCTAGTGGAAGGCCTCCAATGAGAGAACTCACCATCTTGCAATGCAGCTCATTATCCTTTTAGACAGCTCTAATTGTTAGGAAGTTTGTTTGTTTGTGTTCTGATGTCAAACCTAAATTTGTCTGGAGCCAATTAAATCTAATGATTTTTCTTCATGACGTCCATTCAAATAAGACAAACTGTGGTTTAGTAATGAGAATATTGTATTTACAGTCAGATAAGCTAGTTTGAATCATAGCTCTAATATAGTCATGCAAAAATACTTACTCTCTTTGTTCTCTTTGGATCACTCACCTCTAAAATTAAGTGGTTAGACAAGATGACCTGGAGGTTCCCTTACATTAGATCATAAATTAAGATCCCTTGATATACTTGAAGACAGTTAGCATGTCTCCCTCCCCCCCTCCAAGTTTTCTCTTTTCCAAGCTAAATATCTTCAGATGCCTTTATTGATACTCAGATGGTGTGATCTTGGCTAATGACATCTTACCATCTTGGTCACTCTGCCGTGCTTTTTTATGCCCATCTTAAAATGTGGTGTCCAGAAATAAATGCAATAAGCCAGATGTGGTTTGACCAGGGCAGAGTACAGAAGGACTCTTGCCTCCTATGTTCTAGGTATCATGACTTTCAATGAAGTCTAAGATCCCATTAGCTTTGGGGGCTGTCATGCGTTGCTGTTAACTCACATTGATCTTGCAGTCTGTTAACTGTCCCAGATCTTTCTTCACATGAGGTGTCAGTTTGGCCATTTCTCCTCCATCTTATATTTGTGAAGTTGCTTGTTTGAACCCAGGTGGTGGACTTTACATAGATCTCTATTCAGTTTCCTCTGACTAGTATGTTGCCCCAGTTTTGATAGCCTTACATTTATTTGGATTCTGACTCTTAGCCAGTAGGTCAACTATTCCTTCCAACTTTGTATCTAGGTTCTCATTACCACCTCCTACCCTGGTTCTCACAAATAGTAAGGTGTTTAGTTCACTAGAATCCTATTCTGATGGCTAATCTTGATGTAGGGGTAACCCTGGGTACTTGAAGACTATGTTGTATAGGATCTGGTAGATCCTAACAAGCTAGAAAAGCTTCAAAGGCCAGTCTCCCTTTGAGGGACTATATGTATATTTTGGGGACCACCTTAGCTTACTACAAAGAGACTCATCAAAAGATTGCCCGCAAGGTGACAAAATGTTCAGCCATAGCAAATCTAGGAAACCTTCAGAGTCCTAGGGGAGTTATGAACCACATCTGTGTATGCAATACTCATGCCAATGAAATCTCAAAGTGTGGGGAAAAGAGGGGAATAAAACTGCATCCAATTCAATAACAATTCAATAAACTTTTATTAATTGCTACTCTGCACAGGATGCCCATATACAAAGATGAAAAATACAGAAAACCTGCCGAGTTCATAGTCAAAATATGGCATATCAATAAATACTGTATAAAGTAGGATGTGATTGAGTTACCAAGAAAGGGGTTTCAATTTAATTCAAATATGGTGTCTCTGTGGGAAAGAGCAAACCACCTATTAGCCTTGGTCACAGGAGTTCAAGACTTTTCCTTCTTAAACAAAATGATGTTAATGAATTTAAATTGTACAAATTTCTCTTGACCACTTTTTTTGCTGAAGATTCCTGCACCTTGAAGCTCTGTGTGGTCCCTCATTTCTTCTTGCGGCAGCATTTTCGGCGGCCAAGTGAACAGGTCCCTATCTTTTCTTCTTTGCTGGTACATCCAATCACTCTGCATTTGCCCTGCCTCACTTTACAGATCATGCTGCTTATTCGTGACAGCAACCCACTTTCACCTAGAAGGAGAAGAGATTGTTAAACTGTGTAAGGGGGCAGGAACTGCGAGAGCTAGGTGGGGTAGTGGATAAAGCTCTGGTCCTGGAGTCAGGAAGACCTGACTTCAAATCTAGCCTCAGATACTAATTATCTGTGTGACTTCAAACAAATCACTTAACCTCTGTTAGCCTCAGTTTCCTCAACTGTAAAATGATGATAATAAAAGCCCCTACCTCCCAGGGTTGTTGTGAGTACAAGATGAGATATTTATAAATCACTTAGCATAGTGCCCAGCACTTAATAAGCACCATATAAAATGCTAACTAATAGTAAAAATAATAGACTAAAACTACTCTCCAAGATGTTCTTCCAGAAACCTGAACAAAAATAATGCCAACTTCATATAATAGACACTACAATTGTTACAGGTACAATGTCATACCATCATAAGAGTTGTAGTTCTAGGGAATTATCAGTTAAATAATATCCTCAGAAATTTAAAATTCACTTTGGCTGATTTAATGCAATCCAATTCAAAAACCACTTAACCTCCTGCTAGATACTAAGGATTCAATGGCAAACAGTCCCTGTCTACAAGGAATTTGTATTCTAATGAATGATCCACTCTCATCTAAACACAAATGGTTGACCACTGTGAGCATCAATTTCTTCATCTGTAAAATAGGTAAACACAAACTGTAAAATAGGTAAGAACAACTCTTAATTCAGAGTTGTTAGGAGATATATATATATATATATTCTACATATGCATATACATGTACATATATACATACTTATCACTTTGCAAATCTTAAAGCTCTGTATAGATGCCATCTGTTATTATTAATGACCTAATAACACAAGCCTTTTCATCAGCATCTCTCTTATTAAAAAAAAAAAACTAAAGGATGGTTTTTCTTTTTTAAATTCCCAAGCTATGATATAGTATACAGAGAGCTACTTCAAAGCCAGGAAGAGCTATATTCAACTCCAGCCCAAAACACATACTGGCTCTATGATGCTGGACAAGACAATCAACCTCTCAACTCTCTAAATCAGGAGTGTCAAATTCCAATAGCATATCGACAAGTAGCATATTGACTGAGAAAACCTCAAAGTAGCATTATCTATATTGCACTGTATTTTTATTTATTTTGTTAAACACTTCTCAATGACATTTTAATCTGGTTCCCCAACTCGAGATTTTTAAAGCACCTCTGGGGTCAGTTTGACACTGCCTCTGCTTTGGCAACACTTTTAAAGACTCCCTGATGAGTTCCCTATACCAATATAATGAATTGCAGGCCTGTTCTCTATGCCTGAGGCTATGGCCATGTCATCAAGGGGGTGTGTTACAATTTAGCTAACTTGCTGGCCATGCAACTGATGCTACCGTGTCTCTAAAGTAAGCAATTTAGTCTTGTAAAGCAGTCACAACATGCTAATCCTGTGGGTGAAACCCAGTCCATGGCTTTATGGTCACTAGCAGGCCCAGGGACAAGACTGAATGTCTTCATTCAGATTGGTCCATTCTACTGTAACTAGTGGAAAAACAAATCAAATCTATTAATATGAGGGCCACAAATTCTACATATGAAAAATAATAAAGTAGCTAACTTTGACACAACACTTTATGGTTAACAAAGTGCTTTATATATAATCTTCACAAAACCTCAAGAAGGTGAGTGCTATTTTTATCCTCATTTTTTAGATATGAGGAAACTGAAGTTGAAGAGGCTAAATGACTTGCCTAGATTTCACATAATTCGTAAGTATCTAAGTCAGAATTAAAATCCACATCTTTTTGACCTGAAGTCCTGAGAAAATGGTACAATATAGTAAATAAATTCAGAACCAACAGAAAGAAAAAATTTTCCATTCACATTTTTTTACTTTTTTCCATCCAAATGATTAATTAAAATGTCTTCTCAGAGGTGGAATATAGAACATGGAGAATATTATGAGGCTAATTGATCAGTTGGAAAAACAACAATGTAAGATATTGTATAGAAGGCTAGCTTTGGATTGAAGGACATATGAGCTCTAGTCCTGCCTCTGTTATATACACATAATCTCTTATACTTCAGTTTCTTGAGGGCAAGAACTATTTTATTTCTATATCCCCAGTGCTGAGGACAGTGACTTGTACCTAGAAAGCACTCAATACCTGATGAATTGAATGCCAGCTGTATAAACATGGGAAAGTCACTTAACTACTTAGCAAGACTATATGCTATGAAGTGTTAGAATTGGAATGGATCTTAGAAGTCACCAAATCCAACCTCCTCATTTTATAAATAAGGAAACAGAGGCCTAGAGAGATTAAGTGGTTACAGAGCTAGTAAGAGTCAGAGTTGGGATTTGAACCAGGATTTCATGGTCCAGTGCTCAATCCACATACCTCAGAGGTGTCAATCATACAGCCTACTGACCTCATGCAACCCCATAACACCCACTAGTGCTGCCTGAACCAGATTAAAATATAATTAGGAAATATTTAACAAAATAAATAAAAATACAATAAAACATAGGTAATATTACATTTTAAAACTAAGTCAATATGTGTCCTGTAGAGATCTTCTCCTCCTCTACCCCAACATTTGTATTTGAGTTTCACAGCACTCCACTACCCCCAGGCTGTTTCTGCAGTAGAGGAGGCAATTTCCAAATCAGGAATTCCCCAAACTAATAATATTACAGATCTGGACCCCACCCCCCAAAATGATGTTTAAGTTTTAAAATAATTTAAGCCACAGGACATAATGTATATCGTGTGTGCATTAAAAGGAAGAGTGACTGAAAAGCATTTGAATTGCACCAGAGCCTACTCTGGTGCACACATTCCCTCTGTCTCTTATTCTTTTTCTCTTTCTTCCTCTGATTTCATAATAGGATGAAGTGCAAAATAATAATAGCCAACACTTATATAGCACTTACTATGTGCCAGGCACTGTGCTGAGCACTTTGCAATTGTTATCCCATTTGCTCCTCACAACAACCCTAGGAAGTAGGTGCTATTATTATCCCTATTTAATAGATGAGGAAACTGAGGCAAACAGAGGTTAAGTGATGTATTCATGTTCACACAGCTAGTAAGTGTCTGAGGCTGGATTTGAACTCAGATTTTCTTGACTCCAAGTCCAATGTTCTAACCATTTTGCCACAAAAGACATACAAAGGTACTAAAAGTCACTCTTTTTTTTCCTGGCCAACAGCTCAGGCACAAAATAAGTATGGCACTGGAAAGTGCTATTCATTGGCACAAAATATGTGGGTAGCCCTCTGCTTATGAAGGCCAGAGTTGTATTTGGTCCCGAAGGGCCATTCATTTGCTCCACAGCTTCTAGGAGAATATAAGTTCTCACTGTAGCCTTAAAAAATGAGAATATCTGTATTGTTCTTTCTGACAAGTTATCATTACCTTTTGATATTTCATTAAAAAGAAACAAACCCAGAGAGCCCCATGTTAATATCTCACTCGGAGAATACTGATTTTCCCGTTAAGTCAGAAGAACTTTTTTTCCTATCCTAGTGGTCAATGGACTGAAAACATTTGTAAACCAATCCCTGCTGTGATATTCCTTTCTTTCTTCCCAGCCTCCTATCTGCCATTCAGAGAATCTACTAGAGTTAATGCTCTTGAGAGAGTCAGATGCAGATCCTCCTTTCATGATGGCACATGCTCTTCTATTCTCTTTGGCCACCTATTTTTCAGGCCCAAAGCCCTTGCCCCCTCTTACCTGGAATAGGGAGTAGGAACAAGAAGAAAAGGAAAAAGAGCAGGTAATGGATCCTCATGGTTGGTGTTTGACTGGCGCTTCCACCCAAGACACTGTGAAGCTTCCAAGATAAGACAGGAGAGAAAAAAGCTCACCTGTGTCTTATTGAGGCTGGTGCTGGACAGATTGGGCAGGCAGACACACTAGCTGTCATTATAAGGTGTGGACAGCCTAATGTCTTTTCCTGAAGCTTCATGCCAGGAGCTCTTACGACACAGAGCTCCACCCCCTCACCTTGCACATGTCATGGTACAGATGACAAATAAAGGATGTAGATACATAGATGTCCCAAAAAAGTCATCCTGTCATCCTGTACCCTTAACCCAACCCATGGAGGATGATCCAATTGGGTTATAAATCTGGTAGTAGGTCTGGAAGTGGTGATGTTCCCCCTCCCCAGTTTGGAAAAGTATAAGAACATCCCACCTGGGCTTGATTTTTCCTCAGAATTGACATATCCTTCGCACTCCCATCCCCAGCTTTTACATTCAAGAGGGGGATTTCTGAAGTCAATCTCAAGGATGCTACTGGGATCCTCTTCATTCCAACAATGTTAGGTTTGCCCCAGAGTATGCTTTTGTTCTAGGGACAGGCCACAGTTGGGCAAGAATCACACTACTTCTGAAGTGGTGGGGAGAAGAATGTGGGGGCAACACTACCTCGGAATGTTTATCCCATGTAATTTACTTTCCTAGGGGATGTCTTAATCAAAATGAATCAATAATCCCTTCTTTAAGTAACTGCTATTTACTAGGATCTATGCTAGGCCTAGGGATTAAAGTCAAAAATGAAACAGCCCCTGTTCTCAAGAGGCTTATATTCTATTGGGCAGGAAAAACAACTATACACATACAACAACTATATATACATAAACATATGTACAAATCTATGTATATATGTACATAAAAACATGCGGGGTGCTCAAAAAGTTATTAAAGTTCAAAACTGTACTGAGATTTTTGGAATACTCTATATGTAAAATAAATATGGGGTAATTTTTGAGGGAGAAAGCATTAGCAGCTGAGGGAATCAGGATAGGTTTCATGTAGATGATGGTTCTTGAGCTTTGACATAAACTAGAGATTCTAAGAGATGGAGTTGAGGAGAAAGCACATTCCAGGCAGGGGGGACGGCCAAGTGAAAAGGCTTGGAGATGGGGAATGGAGTGTCATGTATGAGAAATAGTAAGAAGAACCCATCACAATCTTACCTTTGTCTAAAGAACTACTAAGAGGATGAGTCATAGTAAGCTGCCACATTTTATTTCCTCAGAGAATGCTGGTGTGAGACATGCTAATGGGCTGTGATCTGTCCAGTGTTTAAGTAATTCCCCACATGAGTTAGGAGCTCAGAGGTGTCTACTCATGATATATCAGATTCTAGGGACTCACCGATTGTATAAAGATTCAGGGAAATGTTTCATCAAATCATAGAATGTAGAGATGAAAGGAATTGTGGAAATTATCTAGTCCAAGGGTGGGGAACCTGTGGACTAGAGGCCACATATGGCCCTCTGGATCCTCAAGCTTAGCCCTTTGACTGAATCCAAACTTCACAGAACAAATCCCCTTAATAAAAGGATTTATTCTGTAAAACTTGAACTTAGTCAAAAGGCCACACACAAGGACCCAGAAGTCCAACCCTCCTCATGTTACAGAGGAAGAAATTGAGGCCCAGAGAAGAGGACTTGGCCAAGGTATATAGCTAGTAAGCATCAGACCTGGAATTTGCCAGGCAATTTATTGATCACTAAATGGGTGCCAAAACAATTAATTCACCTCCATTTACCTGAGTTTCTTCAACTATAAAATGGTGATAATAATAACACCTACCTCTTAAGCTTATTGTGAAAATCAAATGAGATAATATTTGTAAAGCATTTAGCAGAGTGTCTGGCACAAAGTCAGCATTTAATAAATGCTTATTTGTTAAGTTCCAAAAAATTAATTTATTGATCACTAAATAGGTGACCTTTGAGACTATGGAATTGGATCATCAGAACACAACTAAATTTATTTGCTCCTTTGGTGCCCTACAGATTTGGCTTTCAGAAGTTTGGATAATGGCCTGTGTTGGTGTGGTGGGACTCTCCCACCAGGGAGTTTCATAGATACCATACAATGTGAGAGCTTGAAAACACCTTAGAGTCTATTCAGTCCAACAACTCCTCACCTCCCTAAGTTTCCACATGTGAAAAACCCCCTCCAGTCTCTCTGGGGAGTCCCAGAAAAGGAAAGAGACATTCCCAAGATCAAACAGCTAGCTGGCGATAGACTCCAGAATTCAAACGTTGTTGTCCTGATTTCCAGACCAGTAGTCTTCTCATAAGGCCTTGCTAAACTATATTAGCTCAATGAGTCTGTAACATTAAAAGGCTGTATTCAGCTATTGTATCTCTTTGATTAAAATTCAGTCCTTAATTCTCAGGTGGTGGGATTTGAACTATGGCAAAAGTTTTTTTAAATGGAACCAGACAGAAACAATGAGTGGAACGAGAGGTTGATTGATTTACAAAGGCATTATTTGAGCATATGGGAAAGAGATAAGGGAAGAGAGGGAGCAGGGTTTGAGTACTATGGGGAGTTATAACTCAGTTTACACATTTTGATCAAAACTAACTATAGTTCATCAGGTTCAAATATGGTTACATTTCCCAGGATAGTGAGAGATTTTCTCATGAAAATTATTGGAACACACCATATGTAAAATAAATACAGGGTAATTTTGAGGCAAGAGGTATTAGTAGCAGGGGAGAATCAAAAAAGGCTTCATGTAGATGATGGTGCTGAAACTGAACTCTGAAGTAAACTAAAGATTCTAAAAAATAGAATTGAGGAGGCAGAAATGGGGAATGGACTGTTTGATGGGAAGCAGGGTTTGAGTATTATGGGGAATTACAACTTGGTACATACATTTTGCTCCAAGTACAGTCACTAGGTTTAGATATGATTTTTCAACTTCATACTATCTCATGCCTAATGGGAAAAAGATTTCTTGTATACCCCATCCCCAACATACCCACTGCAATTCTCATTTAGGACTTGGATCCTTCCAGTTCTAAATTTGTAATCTTATGATACTATATTATCCCTTCAGTTCATCCTGGTATTTTCTCTCAATCCTTTTAACCTAGATCCACAATAACTGAACTTGATTCCACTGCTTGTTTAACACCTAAAAGTTGAAACTCTCAAAAGGACTGGGAGCAAGGAAACAGGGAGAAAAACACTCCACTCAGCTTTTACATCTTAATGTTTATTTACATTTCAATCCTCTCCTTTTCCACTTCTTTTCTTAGAAATTGCTTCTGTCACCCCCACCCCTTCTTCTCTATCAACACATAGAATGATACAATGTCAAAACTGGAAGGGAAGAGGCAAAGTGGATAGAGCACCAGCCCTGAAGTCAGGAGGACCTGAGTTCAAATTCAGCCTCAGACACATGATACTTACTAGTTGTGTGACCCTAGGCAAGTCACTTAACCCCAATTGCCTCACCAAAAAAGAACTAGAAGGGAACTCAAAGATTATCTAAGTGAACCCTTCTCCTTCATTATGATTATAAAATAATCAAAATTTTAGAAAATGATCTAGGATACTGAGAAATAAAGTGAGTCATTCAGGCTTAGCCAGTACATATCAGTATGTGTCAGAGGCAGGATCTGAATCCAGGTTCTTCCTGTAGCCAGTTTTCTAATAATTATGACCCGTACTTCCTCCATACTCTCTTGGAAAGCAGGCACAGATGTTCAAGGGTAGAGGGAGTTCTTTCCTGGGAGGTAGCTATCTATGCTGATTAGGCCATGGTTTTAGTCAAAACCATAATAACGAATCACATTTCTTTAACATTTGGGGACTTATGAAGTTCTTACTCTTCAATGATACCACTCTTGCAAGGTTCAGTAATAGAAGTATTATTACCATTTTACAGATAAGGAAACAAACTCATAGAGGTTAAATTTTCTTGCCCAAAGTCACACAGCTAGATAAGGGCAGAGTCAATATAAGAACCGACACTTTGGACTCAATATTGCCAAGAAGATCCAGGACTCTATCTGCCTCATCAATCTTTGTAAATCTATCACCTTGGACAGGGCCTTCCATAAAGTTTAGGGGCATAATAAACGTGCTAATTTGAATCAAACTGTTGGCTGAGAAAAAAATGGAATAAGGATATTGCTAGTTTTATTCAGCAGAAGGCAACTGGGACAGGAATATCCCCAAATCCTCCAGAGTTGGCCATAATAGGTCACAATCCTTTCCTACAGCAGTGTTTCTTAAAACTTGGGCATCTTCCAGGCAAGGGCATGCATTTGATTTCTTTTTTATTCCGGCAGATGCCCCGATAAAAATAACAGGAAGGAATGTTGGACTTCTTCCCATCCACTGTAAAAAAAAAAAAAAAAAAAAAGGTGAGAATTTCTGACAACACTGTGTAGCTCAGACAGACGTGAGGTAAGGTGAGAAAAGGGGGTAAGCTGGGAACTTGGGCCACATTTTTCATTCTGTTGGCATTTATCTGTCTGAATATCTATGGTAGCTATCAAAGATTATATATCTGGAGCTGGAAGGGACCCCAGGAGTCATAATACTGTAGGATGATATTAGAGCTGGAAGGGACCCCAGAAGTCATCTAGTCCAACCCCCGCATTTTACAGACAGGTTTAGTAACTTACTTGTCCAAGATAAGAGTTAGTTAAGTACCTGAGGACAGCATCAAAACCCAGGTATTGGCCCCCTTCATCTTATAGATGAAAAAACTCAGGCCCAGAGAAAAAAAATCATTTGCCCTAAAGTCACATATCTAGCAAATGGCACAGCTAGAATTTGAATAGGTCCTCAGATTCCGAAACCAGCCTACTGTTTACCATATTATGGTCCAGAATTAGTAAAATTTCTGTTTCTATTCACAGCTGAGTAGAAGATGTAGTATAGTACAATAGAAAGAGGAACAGCTAGGTGACAGAGTGGATAGAGCACTGGACCTGGAGTCAGAAAGACCTGAGTTCAAATCTGGCCTCAGACACTTACTAGCTGTGTGACCCTGTCTGCCTCAGTTTTCTCATCTGTAAAATGAGCTAGAGAAGGAAATGACAAACCACTTCAATACCTTTGTCAAGCAAGCCCCAAATGGGGTCATGAAGAGCTCTACGTAACTGAAAAGACT